AACATAAGTTTTTCTATCTTCTCACTAAAAACATGGAATTCTGATTATGTGACAACTTATTTAAATTAATTAAGTAAAATAATATTCTTCTTTAAAAACAAATGCACACTAAATAAAAATAGTCACTAGTGCAGAAGTCATAACAATGAAGTCAAGTTCACTTTGTTTTAAGTTCTTATTACCTAAAATTTTTCAAAAACACAATCATTAGATTTTCTATATTTAATTTAACTGTTTAGATACACCTTATTAAATCAAAAATAAAATGGTGAAGTTAAGTGCAACATTTAAGTTCTCTACACTGAAAAATGCAAATTTTCCGTTCCCCAAGATATTGTGACTCACTAACGTGTATATTTGTATATCTGACTTACTTTAATTAAATTAGTTTAAATAATGGTAGGCAAAGTTCATTTACTTACAAGGGGTGATCAAATGAAAAGGTACGAAACGACGTAAAAACGTAACAGTTAAACATATCGGGATGCGATTGGAGTCTCTGACGGGGGTCGGAGCATGCGCGGGCGCCCACATGCGCAAGAGAGAGCAGAGGCTCTTATCAAAAGCAGCGTCCAAATGGTGCGGCAGTCCGCATGAGGAACAGAAACTGGAGCACAGAAAAACCATTAACTCCTATGTGTACTGTGAGACACTCCGACGCCTACGCAGGTCCATCAAGAACAAAAGACCAGGGGCTGCTCACGGAGGGTGTGGTTCTGCTCCATGATACCGCGCGTCCACACGTCTCCAGAGTCACACGCTAGCCAAGTTCAAGTGGGAGACGTTGGACCATCCGCCCTACTGTCCGGACAGGTCATCCTGCGATTTCCATGTGTTTGGTTCACTGAAGAAACGCGTGAAAGAGAAGCGCTTCAACTTGGACGACGTACTCAAGGACGCTGTGAAGGACTGGGTCTCGTCTCGGCCACAGGAATTCTGGGAACAAGGAATCCTGCAGCTTGTTCATCAGTGGGATCGTTGCGCTGTCTTTACTACTTTTTGTAGAAGACATCCACCCCCATGTTGCTCTCATGTTTCGAGCTAAACAAAAAAGACGGAAAATAAGGCACAGGAAAATTGCTTTTCAGCCACAATGCCTATAATTTAGCAAAAATAAATTGCTTAAAAAAATACTCAAAATTTGAAAAATAATAACAACAAAATAAAGCAGAACGAGACTGTGCTTGGCCCCACATCTGATGTATTAAGGAATGGTCACATATACACACCAGTATTTTTTCTTCTCTCTCGGTAATGAGGAACAATGTTTTGGAAGTACATGTTCCGTAGAACCCAATCATTCTAAAAGACAAAAACAAATTTAAATGCTCAATTTTAAACCTCAATCAAAACTTAAAGTATATAGTTATTTGATAGGGTATAGTATTTGATGACTTACCCTATTTAAATCTATAACATCTTGCAACATGAACCTGACCCTAGAGCTAATTAAACGTTTGTCTACTATCTTTTGCATTTGTAAGAAATAATTTTCCATCTGAAAAAGAGAGATTGCCAAAATATGGGTTTAAAATAAGAGAACATACGCTGAAATATGTTTAATTACAATATATATTACATCAATAACAGATTATGAAAATCAAACACACCAGTTTATATAATTCCTTTTAGTAAAAATTGAAGCAAACAATTTCAACTCATTGTTGGTAATTTAAATCAACAGGATAAATTTTTGAATTCTAATGAGTAAAATTTTTTGCATCATATTAAATATAGTAATATATAGTAGCAAAATACAAAATATAAATAATTACTATTTTAAGAAGATCATCAGAAAGATATTTATTAATTGTAAAGTTATTCAAACCCACATTAAGTTGAATAAGGTAAGAAAAAATTCAAACTGAAATATTTTAAAATTAAGCTGTAATTTTCACCTTTTAACAACCAAAAAATATTTTTAATACTTAAAAAAAATCTGAATTAGAAAAAAAAATTTCATTTGCCGAAAGTTCTTAGGCATGCAAAAAATAAACAAAATGAAAAAATAATTTCCAAGAGTTAACATTATCTACGTATATTAACTAGGTCCTGGCAAGGAACTAAGGTTAAAAATTCATAATGTTTAGTTGGCTCACATGATAGACAAAAATTTCAACGATTTTTGATTTCATTCGAGAGCGCAGAAAAAACCTGCAATCAAAAGTCTCTTACAAAATGCAGTAGGTTTTATGTGATTGCAAAAAGTACTTCCTAATCCAGCATCATGAGTATGCGGCGTGGATCTGCGAGTAATTCAGTCAACATGTAAAATGAGTAGAGCTTTCGTGCAATTCAGATGACAATATGGTGAAATGGATTGAGGTCAAATGATTTAAGAAAATTCTGCGTAGAACATTGAAAAAACCACACTTTTTGCGAGATTTATAACAAAAATCGCACTTTGCAAACACCTTATGAAAAAAACACGAGCGTTTTAAAAAACAAAAAATAAGTTTTCTTTTAAAAATGCAACACTCAGCTATCTCTAGTAATATCACCTTTCTTTTATCTCAGTTTTTAAATACTATACTTTGATTCTGTTAGACTATGAATTTCAATGAACAAGGTTCGAGTAAGAGTCAGAGATCACGAGTTCGAAAAACCTCTAAAAGAGGGAGTTCGAACATTTAAAAATAATTTAAAGACAGAATTTGTATAATATTAATTTTGAGTGTGTAAGTACCAGGACGTTCTCAGCTTCCAACTTGTATATCGGTAGCTGTAGACAAATTACTCAAAATGGAACGGGTACTGCCATCTATTGGTGAATTTTAGAGTTCATGAAAAGAACTGAGCTTTATCTCATGATTGCTGCATAATGTTGCTGTTTGGAAACATTTATTGAAGCTTCTATGGGGGAAAGAAGATGTGTAGCCAAATGTCTACATAATGCACTGTAGGGTTAAGTTAAGTTATGATTTTTCTTACTTAATAAAATTTCTGATTAGTTAAAAGATGACTTTTTCATTATGCTTACTAAACATTTTCCACAACGCACTGAACTCTGCCAGCATATTCAAGGCAACAATATTATGAAGCAAAATTTTTTGTTATCAATAAAAAGTAACTGAAAATTACCATGAAACTTAAAAAACATGCAATATGAAATTCGGTACTATTAGAAAGGTATGTCACAATAGCATTGATTACAGTAGAAAAGCATGGCGATTATTCTTTAAAATTTATTTTAAGCAAACTTGAATGTGCATATTGTGTTGCAATTCACAGAGGTATTATTATAATAATTTTTCATACTTGCAACGATATAGAACTTATATTTATGAAATCCTCACAAATAATGAATAATAAAAAAACATTATACACATTGCAAATTAATACTTAAGTAAATGATAAAGTTAAAATCCAATAAATCCCTACTAATTATTGGAAACCCTCCAAATAGGATTAGGAAATCTCAAGTGGTTTTGATAGATCTCATTCTGACTTACTAGTTACTTCCTCATATCTAAGTTTTTTTTTTATATTTTCCACATTTAAATCAGATAACACCAATGCATACACTTTTTCGACAAAGAATACAGAATCGACAAGAACTAATCTGTAGTTATCAGTAGTTAATCTGTAGTTATTATATACTATGAATCAGAAAGAAATGTGTTTAATAAGCTTTTTCAACAAAAAAAGCTTTTTTTAACTTGAGAATAAGTTGTCTTTTTAAACTTATATTATTTACAATTACTTTATTATAATTATATTATTTGCATTTACTTATATTATACTTTTCCTCACATTTTATTACAAGTAAAAGCACAGATCAAAATTAAAACAAAGAACATTTACACTTTTTTTTGAGCCTTTAACTTTTCGATCATCTAATCGTTTCAGCAATTGACACAAACATTTAAGTGATACTTCATCTCCTTGGGAGATGAGCCTCTTTATACAATTCATGCATGATAGGTTCGGTTATCATTCCAAGGCGAAAGAGTTCACCAATAAATCTAAAAAAAAAAAGAAAGACAATTGTAATGTACTTTAAGTTTGTTTTTATATACATAAAATTTATATAGAATTGAGAAAATTAACAGTCAATATTTAAAAGCAGAACTTTTGATCTTGCTTGTCTTTTATTGAAAATAGATATACTGATTAACAAACAAAACTTCAAAACTGATGAGAATGCCATTATGATAAACTATCATCATAATAAAAATAAAAACAGACCGATAAATTTTTTTGTTTGTCCTTAAATATCNACCCTAAATATTACATTTAGTTGGACCCTTAATATTAATATTATGTATGCCCATGCTAAATAAAGTGTTCTGAGAAGCTTAAAATGAAGAAATAAGCGTTCTAAAATGCTTTAAAAATTCAAAGTCATCTTTCAATGATTAACAAACGCAAGTCTCAAAACGAGGAAATTCGCCTTCTAAAACCCTTTAAAAATCAGCTAGGTTTCAGATAAAAAAAATCATAAGATGAAAAAGAATTGTGTAAGTTTTTCTTAATATTTAACACCTGAATGTTTCTTTTATATCCATTTTTATATGAAGTATTCCACTTTCAAAATTTTTTATGACAAATTGGTTTAGGAAATAAAATTCTGCAAACGTAAAAGTAGGAAATAGAGTTTTCTTTTAGTCATGAAATTATAAATAATAAATAATTATAATGTTTTCAATAAACTGTAATAAAAATTTGAAATTTGTCAATGTTTCAGGTGTTTAAAAAGCATAAAAAATAGGACTTTCTTTAAAAAACAATAAGAGTTTACAATTACAGAAGAGTCCTGATTAGTAGAGTTTCAAATATATCTGAGCTAAATAAGTCTTGCTCCTAAACAACACATTTTACAATCATTTTATTCAAAATTAGTTGGCTTACCAATGCCAACTGCTTGCACATGTTTGCACAGGGGACACTGGAGTTTGCCTCTGCCACAGCTGCCTTAAATATTAAATCAATGACTGCGCACAGTTTTTCTTCAGTGTCGATGTTAAGATTTTTGATTTGAGTCTATAGAGTTCCAAACTTCCGTGGCGTGNTTTACAATCATTTTATTCAAAATTAGTTGGCTTACCAATGCCAAATGCTTGCACATGTTTGCATAGGGGACACTGGAATTTGGCTCGGCCACAGCTGCCTCAAATATTACATCAATGACTTCGCACAGTTTTCCTTTAGTGTCGATGTTAAGATTTTTGATTTGAGTCAATAGAGTTTCAAACTTCCGTGGTGTGAGTTTATTAAGGATTCCTTGGACACTTCTTCAAAGTTCCTCTTTTTCCTATTAATAATGTAAAAAATTTATTACCATTATTTGTATTACAAAAAGCTGTTATATATTCTTCTAGGATGAAGGTTTAATGAACTTATAAGTATGACTTAACTTGTGTATTAATTTTTTAAAATGTGATCGAACACAGAGAAGTTATAATCAACATGAATGATAAGGAAGGAGAGAAATTTATAACAGAATCTGTTAATTGAATATTAGAACATGCAAACAGAACAGCAACACATATTTTCATTAGTAAGGTGAGTTTTTGATTCATCTAATGCAATAATTCTAATTTAATCTCAGTATAACAAAATTATTAATCTTAATCAAAGCTTTGATAGAATAAACTGAAACCAACAAAAACATTTAATAAGTTAAAAAAAATAAAACATATGAAATCCACAGTATTAATTTAGAAAAAAGTAAGAGCATAATTACGAGTAGACTCAGGTAACTAAATATCACACATTAGATAATTTGCCTGCTTAGATCCTATCTTGTAATCAAACCACTTAATTTCTCCCAAAGCATTTCTGGAGTCATTAAAACATTAATCTATACAGGAATAACTGACAATATTGTAAAATACAGTAGGATTTACAGCTGTTTTAAAATATTGTGATTTATTTGTAATTCGCTAATCATAAAAATACAACCTTAATAAGTATGATCTGACCTTTATACTAATTCCTGGATATCTAATGTGTGATAACAGGAATGCAATTAAATGCTTTTACAGCTGTTTTAAAATATTGTGATTTATTTGTAATTCGCTAATCATAAAAATACAACCTTAATAAGTATGATCTGACCTTTATACTAATTCCTGGATATCTAATGTGTGATAACAGGAATGCAATTAAATGCTATTTCAACTGCATAAATTACATTGTTTAATTATAATTATTGAGCTTAATGGACTGCATTCATTCTAAATATTTGATTTAACTTAAGCGCAAAAAAAAATATATAAATGAAAACAAAGCAAGATAGTCTGGTTGGAAGGACGTTTGGCTTTTGTCCGTAAGATCAAATCCTGTTGGCTGAAGAATCTTGTGTGGCTGGAGCACCTTAAATCATTCAGGGTCACAAAGTCCTCGAAGGCCCCAAAACAAATCAGCATCTCTTTGGATGAATGAATGGAGTATGAATGGGTCTTCCCTGAAAAAAACGGCTGTGACAGCTGAAATCTTATTCTTGGCCATAGATGGCACCGCTGAAAAACAAGACTGTAATTCGTTTGGTTTTCCATTGTTGGTATTGGCAAGTGGCATAAATAACAACAACAGAAAACTTACGTCTGACCGAGGTATAGTAAACCACCTGAAAACCCAGCAAAATCTACAATAAACAGTGTTTCACAATATAAAAAAATCTTTGAGAAAATATTTTTTTTAGTATAATGCAGAGGTATTGTTGGAAATAGTGTGATTGCATTAGTATATAGTTTACTTCAAAAGCTATTAACTAACTAAATAAGTGAAGTCAATCCACAAAAAATAGTTTTCTTACACAAAATGTCGTCATACAATGAAAATTTATTCAGAATGTTAATATCTAGCAATTTATTCAAAATATTTTTTATTATAAGGAAATGGTTGTCTCAGAGGAAGTTACGAACATTTAGTCACTATACAGTCCCTACGGTAGAATATTTTCGAGCTATCTGCTACAAAACTCTCAAGCACTAACATCTTTCTACAAGATACTTTCAATAATAACAAACACATACGTTACTAATTTAAAATAATAAAAGCGCTGGAATATTTAAAAGGAATATATAAAAGGAATATTTAAAATTAAAAAAAACCGTATAATTTTTATTAATTGAATGTGCAAAAAATTTTTATTCTAATATTATGGGTCAGCAAGAACTGTGTAACGTTCTGCGACTATTTCGCCGTGTAGCTTCGATTCTTCCTCAGGATATACAGCATTCGGCCTTTTTGCTCAATATTCGGTTGGCCTAATGTTCAGCAAAGTATTATTCGGAAAAATAATTTTAGACTGCTTTTTTTTAANAAATCGCATATTTTACTCCACATTATTAGAGATTGTTTCTTTACATATTTAAAGTTTTATATCTTGTTTTATGTTTAAAAGAAGAATTAATGTTTTTGTTCGATCGATTCACTCTGCTACTGTCTTTTTTGAGAACTACTCGCATTATTCATTTTAACGAAATGACTTACCTTAAACACTCCTTTACAAGTGTAACACTTCTTTTTTAATTAAAATTCATAATTGTATACTTCTAAACTTAAGACATTGTCTAAAATTTTGCAAATATTTCAGTTTTTTTACGGTCAAATTTTGAGTGCTTAGCAACCTAGTAAAATTAAGCATTCCTCTTTTGAATTAGTCAATGGGTTATCTTAAAATATTCATTTGCGCAGGCGACTTTTTTTTGGCGGTTTTCTGGACTATCGCCAAATATATAAACCTTTATTGCTACCCAATTTACCACCGAATTTTTTTAAAATTTTGTTAATTCAAGTGTCTAGATTCCAAATATGTAAAAAAAAAATATATGTTTATTCAGAGAAAGTACGTTTTTGTGACTGATTTCGTAATTTAATTAATAGTTAGCACTAATTAATTAGCATATTTAAGGTCACCCCCAGAAACCTTTAAGATTGATACTTAGTTTGTGAAAATCCTATGATTAGAACGAAAGTTATTCAGGGTGATATCTTTTTTTTTTGCGGACTGTACATTGTGTTTATAGTGGTATTGAATTTATAGTGGCATTGAATTTATAGTGGTAATATTATAATCATTTTCCATACTTGCAACCACACAGGATTTATATTTATAAAATCGTCACAAATAATAATAAAAAAAAAATTAAAGACACATTGCGAATTAATACTTACGCAAACCATAACAAAAATGCAGTTAAAATCTAAAAATCAATACTAATTATTAGAAACTCTCCAAATTGAATCAGAAAATCTTATAAAGATTTTAAGCTGTATAAAGATTTATTGTTCTACGAATCTGAAAGTATGCGTTTAATAAGCTTTTACAAAAACAAAAAGTACTTGAATTGAAGATAAGCTGTCTTTTTAAACTTATATTATTTACAAGAAAACTTTTCCTCACATTTTATTACAAGTAAAAGCACTGCGGGGATGATAGCTATCGACAATGTAAGCCTTCATCTATGAAAAGGTACCCCTCTATAGAATCGAGTTAACATGTCTTATATACTACTGAATTGGAATTATATATTTGTAGTGGTAGATACACTACAAGCACAGATCAAAATGAAAACAAAAAACACTTACACTTTCTTTTGAAACTTCAACATTTGGATCATCTAATTCTTTACCCTTAGTTTTCAGCAATTGACACAAGCACTCAAGTGATTCCTCATCTCCTTGAGAAATGAGCCTCTTTATACATTCCAGCATGATTGTTCAGTTAACATTCCATTAAATTTATTTCTCCAATATATCTAAAAAAAGACAATTGTAATATACAGTAATTCTAAATTTGTTTTTATATGCATAAAATTTATATAGATTTGAGAATATTAACAGACAATATTTAGAACCAGGACTTTCGTTCTTATTAGACATTCATTGAAAATCGATATATTGATAAACAAACGAACCTTCAAAACTGATAAGAAGGCCAGATATGATAAACTAAGATTATAAAACAGACAGATTAATTTTCTGATTGTTGTCTCATACATCTAATGTTCAGCTACGTAGTTTTGTCATTTTGAACCCAATCCAGAAGACAAGGGAACTCCTAGATCAAGTAGTGGGAAAAATTGGCTTTCGAGGAGGACTTTTTGAAGGAACTAACCCACATTTGCGTTACAGGAAGAAGAGAAAGACCACTATTATATGTCAGTGTTGTGGTCGATGCAAGCTGGATGCGGAATTCGTATCGATCAGACATTGCCGGGATTCGAACCCGGTTCACCTTATTGGAAGGCGAATGCACTATCCCCTGAACCATCACGGCTCAAGGGAATTGTTTATGCTTCAAATTTAGCGAGTGCTGATTATAAATAGAAAATGAATGTAAAAATCGATTCTTTAGTACAAGTAGCAGATAAAACACAGGCCCAATTTTTCTTTTAAGGCAACACGTAGTTTCTTTGCACTAGTGATCGCCAGATTTAAGGTGTGGCACTCAGTTTTTCTGAAATTTCTTACTTATTGCTCTCATTTCTTGCAACAAAAATTCTAAATACCTAAACTTCTTTTTAAGAGCTACAATTTAACGTATATAACTTGGTGAAAAATAATGTTATTTATGAAGAAATGGGTTATAAAATTTTAATGTAAATGTTACTTTACTTTGCTTACAAGAGATGAATAGTGATATTTAAAATTTTCATTACGTTTACTGCTTTGTTGATTTCAGTACAAGTAGAAAATAAAGGTCTCTAAATCTAAAAAAATGGTACTTATCGGGATACTTTTCGATTAGCCAGGAGCAGGGAAATTCGAAAAAGTCAAAGAACTACTTCTTAAATTTTTATTCATTTTAGTTTGCGTTTATTTATTTTAATTTTTTTGATTTATTTAATTTTTATGTGTTTACATATAAATATAATTACAAAAAATAGGCAGAGTTCTACATTTTGTTTTCGCCCGACAAATCAAAGAGTATCCATATCCGTTTTGAAAGACCATAAAAACTTACTACCACAGTATCTATATCAAATTCATATATTATTCTGGTCAACAGTGGTTTGTGTGCCATTTTTGATGTGATTTCATATCAATTTGAT